AACATTGACAGATCACTACCTTAGCTCTCCTTGAAGCATCAACGTTAAAGAAGCCATAAACATTTTAATTAATAAATTAAAGCATTCCTTTGTGTTACTATCATTGCTATATACATCTGCTCCAGTTACAAAGGAAGAATAACAATAATTACTTACAAAAGTAGAAAAAGTCTGAAAATGTGTAATGTATTTAAAAGCAAATATAAGCCATTGTATTTTGCTCTTACATTAAAGGTCATACAAGATTTGGTGGGGGGGAGATTGGCTTTCATTGAGATTATGCATAGACTAGTCAAATAAAAAACCCATACAAATCAAGCAAGAAAAGCCAAGAGACTATTTTAATTGTGCTAATAGCAATAATTACCTATGTGATTTGGGGTCTTTAGAATTACCTTCTAGAGTTCTACTCAGGACTTAAATATCTAGATTAATAGTTACGATAATATGCTGATGGCTTCCAAATAGTGTCATTTTTTTAACCTGGATATTTGAATAATATGTGATAATAAAGTGACCAAATTACCTTACCAAAATTGAAACTAATACAGATACAAAGCCCAGTTACAACTTCTCTTAGATTTTATTCTAAATCTTAGCTTTATTATTTCTTAGCTTTATTCTAAAGCTGCTTATTTACATGGCTCAAAGATCTACCCAGTGTATCCAAATCTGTTGTAAGTTTTAGAAATGATATTCTTATCAAAACTAATGTTAAACATAACAGGAAAAACTTTATCATCCCAATGAAGGATTTACTATTAAATACGAAATTTCCCAAAACAACAGGATTGTAATAGCAACAGATACTTCTGCAATGAGAAACATATCATAAAAGATCTTTAAAAATTATTGTTTTGTCTACAGTGCTGACTCTTATAATTTGAAGAGAGCATCCATAGTAATTAAGGCACTGAAATTTCTACTATTTCATAATGCTTTATATCTTTGAAATAGTTTCAAGAAGACTAGATTCCCAGAGCTCTGATCCCACTATGTTAGTTTGGACTGGCATTAAGATACACTGCACCTTGCCAATGTGGCCTCGTAGAGGGTTGAGTCCTCACCTTTAGGCGACATGTCCTTCAGTATGTCACCTTGCTACAAGGACCACAGATTTGGTTTCCTGATAAGGGTGACAATGGAGATTTGTTCACATTTCAGCCACATAAGGCATTTCAACCTGCAGAGAAACCCTACTTTTCTGAGATAAATGGAAGACATGTGGTGGCATGGTTGGCTATCTCGTCTTGCTGGCATGAAAGTGCCATGCTTTGTCTGTACATAACTGCTCCTTTGTTTTCTTAGCTTTTTCATTGAGCACTCCATATGTTATCATCTCAGAATCCTTGTCCCTGGACCCATAAAATTGGAAGGACCTCCCATATGCCGTTTAGCTCTGGGCTCTTCAGACGTTATGCGGAGAGGGACTATGGTTGAAATATCTGGGGAAAGTTGAAAACAGTAACTACAATGATAGGAAGAAAGTCATACTTTTCTTGAAACTCAAAATACTTCTTTCTTCTGCTCGGTTACGATAAACATTCATTTATCTTCAAAGCCTTGAGTGCATTATCATGTGCTGGTGTACTGGGTAAGAACACAAGGTAAGCTCTTAGCCAAAGATTTAGCATTTAAGGTTTTATCAATAGTAAGTAACCTTGAAGGAAGAGAATTCAAGTTGATCATGCTACAAACACACTGATCTCAGAATTCCCAGACCACCTTAGGTGTATTTTCCTCTTCTTGCTCAAACAGTGACAGTCATGAAGTGGTTTCCTTGTGGAAAAAAGAATAATCCTCAAAAGAAAAAGAATCATTAGTTCTAGATGCACAAGTGAAAGAGAATAACAAAGACTCTTTAAAAGTTATAGATCTTTGAATATATAAAAAGTTTTATTGGGGTAATAATTTGTTATTGTGATGTTTATAACTTGAATATTTACAAAGCCTTGAAATGTGCCTCTCTTGAATTTAAAGACTTTATATCATAAATCCAGGATTTTGTAATAAGCATAATATTATACATCAAGCAAACTATTTATGAGACTGAAAATTTAGGAAACCAAGCATAACCAATTCAGTCACAAAATCAGCAAAGAGAACAAGTCACAAAAATAAACGTTCCTTGAGGAAGTGACATGGAAATAGAATACCAATTCGGTCTCCATTCTACTTTGTCTTGATTTTTCACTTCCCACAAGGTTTTGGAATATTGTTAACACTGGTGCAGAGAATGGATTTTGAGTGCTTGGCATCAAAGATGATGCTTATACATTTTGACATATCTTTAGGTACATTATAGGACTTAAAACAGTTTGTAAGTAAAAGAAAAAGGCAGTTTGTAATAATGTACAATCTGACTGGTTTCTTTTATTTGCTTCAGTGTTTACTGTATTCCACATCTTTAATATGCACTACCAAAAGAGCAACTGTCTTTAGATATCAGATGTGCATGGTTTTATCAAGTTCAGTGATAAGTCTCAGTTCTGAACGTTTCAGCAGACAATTACAACTGAAGATAAAGAATGAAGAAATTCTCCAGAGAATTAAGAACATTTCATCACTCTCTGGAGTGTAGCCATGGCTGGCAATTATAAACCATTTTGTGAGCGTCACCCATATGGCCTTTATAGAGCACTAAACTTCCCATAAGCAGTGTCGTCCATCTGGTTTTTATGAATGTATGATGTATTTGCTTCAACTCAAATGGTAACATCTGTCTCTAGAGATAACCCAAAGCTAATCTATAAAGATGTATCTTGATATCTCTGTGAATCATCTAATGGATGACCTGGCTTGTCAGGATCATTGGTGGCAGTGTTATCTTGCTACCCTACGCCTACACTCATCATCTATACTTATTCCAGTGTCTTCTCTAACCACCAGAAATGCTTCAGAAATATATATTGATTAATTTCTCAGTGAGTCAGTGTGTGTGTGTGTGTGTGTGTGTGTGTGTGTGTGTGTTTATAAAGGAAGTCTTTATTATTTTTTCACCTATTCATTGATGGCTCAACATTTGTACTTAAATAAAAATTTTAAAACCTTAAAATGCAAAAAGCTTAATAATCTTCTAAAATCTATGTTAAGTTCCAACAACTTTTCTGGAAATAAACAATGGCGAAGAACCTGCCTGTCATGTGACACTGAGATTTCTTTCGTCAAGATGTATACCACACACAGTATCACAAAGTTAAATCTTTCAATTTATATGACCTTCACACTTCAATAATTTATCAAAAAATGCTCAATTCCATTGCAAGAAGTATCCTGTAACATTAAAAGTTCAAGACCATGAATGAAACAGAACAATTTAGAAATTATAATGTAAACAACAAGAATGAATTCTTATCACTCCAGCATTTTAACTGCTGGACATTAGGACTCTCATTGGCTATAATGTGTAGTGTTTGCTTTGGTAACTAAGCCAAAGGTTTGGCACTTAGGAGCTGCTGCAGTGTTATGTAAGATTAACCATTTATTAGGGCACTGAAGCGATCCTTGTGCAACGTCCTTGACTCAGTGCCAAACTCTGCCTTCCCTTCTGCTCAGCCTCCACTCAAAATAGACTTTATTCAATGATTTAGAATTTCCTTACATGAAAAGACTCTGACCCCAGATACTCACATGGACCCTTAGTAACAACAAACAATGCACCCCTCACCATCACATCTTTCCTACCAGTGAGAGTGGCTTTGGGTGCACAGGCATGAATGGCATATCATGCTCAATGAATTTTGTCCTCCTGGACAGAAAGGAAATCAAGATGTGTGTTGCTCATGAAAGTCTAATCTGACTTTAGGAGATGATACATGCAATCATCTTTTCCCTACTTTCTGGAGTTACTTATCTCTTCCCAGCTATTTATTTCATGGAAAACAATGCTACTATCTAGCTTCTACACTACAGGAATTCTCTCAGAAGACATCCCTATAACTAAAAGGATGGAGGATTAAGGATTTATATATTGAGATGATGTTTTCGGTTGCCATTCCATGAAGGCTTGTTATATCTAAAGCCACAGGAAGAAGTATGTTGTCCTTCCAGCTTTACTGTCCCTATCATTGGTGTCCTATCCACATGGAGAAAGAATCAGCTTGCCTTGGTGTCCTTCACAACCACTGGTGAGGTGAGTCATCCCCCAAGCATATTAGCTATTTCCAAATTACTCCTATGGTTCTTTACTTCCCAAAATAATAGTATATGTCATGCAATTTATATACACACAAGCACCAACATATATATATATATATATATATATATATATATATATATATACACATACACACAAATCACAAAATTATATTTTAAATACAAATTCTCATTGTATTCCAGTACAGATCAAAGAATTTAAAAAGGTTCATGATAAAAATCTACCACTGTCACACAATCTACTGCTTCGCAATTATTCCATGCATTTCTCTATCAGTTTTGGAAAATAATATAAATTTTAAAACAAAATAATTTAAAATGCCTAATTCTCTTTTTAAAATCACAATGTCACAGAAACACATGACAAAATTTTAAGTCTGCATATGTGTGTATGACTACATATATTAAAATAGATACAGGTATCACAAAAAGGAAATGGTTTTTAACAAAAAAAACACATGTGAATTAACTGTTGAGGACCTTTGGATGTGGATTTAGAATCTAAATTCTAATTTTAATTATTCATCGTATTAATTTGATCATTTTAGTTATTTTCCATCTACAGAAAAAATTATCCACAAATTTTAATGCATATAAATTGGCCAAGTAATGTTGGATACTCAGTAAATATCAGTATATCTCTCAATTATCCAGAGTTTTTATACCTTAATATAATCACTATTAAACTTCTGAAAACAACAAATAAAACCCAATCTCCATGCTGAAATTTTAAAAAGAAACTTATTTCAAAATATCAAAATGAAAGGTGAAATTGTCCCTGACTTAATATTTCTAATACAGTTATCAATTACAATAAAGAGGAGGGGAAAGAATCATTAACTTACAGTTTGAGGAATTTCAAGAGCTTTGCATCAGGTTGCAGGTAAGGAGCCTAAGAGAATAAAGAGATTCCTTCCTTAGTGTATGGCTTCAAGAAGGTCTCAACTCCCCAGCAAAGGAGAGCAGATAGACAACACTCCCCAGAGAAAGACTCATGCACCTCGATACTTTGAATATGTTGATGTTAAATTCTGATAATAATGTTAAGCTAAGCCCAAGCAAAATAATCACCTCATTCACTTCTTTGCTAGGCTAAGCAAATCAAGTAAATTTTTAGAAATTTAAAGAAAGCCTTTAAATGCATTGGCTCACCCAAGTTTATTTTACTGGCAACATTCTGTGATTATTTTATTTTGAAAGAGGAAAGAAAGATGCACTAGTGGGTCAGTTTCTTGGGAAGACGGCTCTGAGGACTGAAATTTGCTTGTTCCAAGTTTGGTAGGAAGTGCTCTTGGCATTGGCACCGTGGGACATAAAAGGAAGACTGGGCAGAGAGAGAAGGTGAGCACCGCGGTGTTGGAACAACCTCATGGGAACCCTTGAAACTGGGATTATGAAAGCAGAGTTGTTAGAAGTTGAGCAGAAGAGCCAGGCTTCATATTTTTCTTGTCAATCATTAGAATGAGCTTCCCTTGGGAATGAACAGTGACACAGTTGTTGAGGAGACAGGAAATTCTGCTTTCCATTTTTGGTCTTGAATGTTCTCAGCATCTGGGAGAGGGAAAGACATGCTCCCAGGAAGGCCAGATGAACATGGGAGCTATTGTCATGCTCTCACGTGGCGTTCCTCATCACCATTGCCCTAAGCTCATAAGAAGAGGAGCCAGGGGTTTCTGTCTCCCACATTCAGTTATAGGTTTGGAGATTGAGGAAATAATCACTAGGTGGGGTTTCTCACTCTGAGTCAAACTTGGACCAGGAGTCTTTAATCTTCCATAGGCCTCCGGTCCAGCATTCTTCTTTCTTCTTTCCCCATTGTGTAATCACCAGGTACCTGTGCACACATTGCTTTGGGGAAGTCATGGGCGAACTATTCCCATATGTAGCTGTCATGAGTTTGTTGTGTCCTTCCCTCAAGGCGTCCAGTATTTCCTGTGGTGAGTGAGTTCTGGACTGGTAAACCAGCTCAGATCCAGAAATAGACTAATTTATTTTGACATTTTAACTGCGTAACCCATTGATCATCTATTCTTGATTTTTTAAAATTATGTACATTGAGCAGTACATCTTCTGGCTTCCCAACTATCTTGCTCCTAGAGATACAATGTCCTGTTAACCATCTCCAGAGAGAGCTCTTTGCATCTCATGGTCACCCAGTGACCAGTCCAATCTTGCTACTCTTTATACTGTGTCTAACCAACTCCTGACATTCATGCTGCATCCCTTGGCTTCCTATTATTTGAGAATATTCTCATCCCCTTTGCTAGCAGAGAGTTCTGTTCTGTAAGGGCAGCATCAACCTTCTATTCTGACCTGTGGAGCCCAACCAGCCAGCAAAGGACTTCTGTGATATTGGTGTCTCTTGGTGTCTCTCTTGCCAAAGCATGGCCTTTGGAAATGTCCTCTTAACCTTCCCTTAGACAAATCATCAGAGGGCTTTTCCAGTCATACATAATACATTCGCCTCCCTAGATTTTAATCGCTCCTTCCCTCAATGTCCCTCTTTAACATGGGCCACCATGATCCTCAAGCTTAAGCCTTCCCCAACTGTATGACACTTTCAACTCTCAGGATCCTTTATCCATGTGGAGTTCTACCATCTGGACAAACTTTTCTCAGGCAAATTTTGTTTTCTTTCTTTGGGCAGCATACCAAATTACGTTTTAAAGCCTCAAAGAGCAACCAAGAAACAGAGAAAACTAACCTATCAGAAAAAGATACCCCAAATTGTATAACCTTTTGCAAAATAAATTAGCATCCCTCACATCAAACAATGCAGTGAAAAAGCACCCTGCATGCAAACAATAAAACAAGAAATCTAACACTGCCTCAAACGTTAGGGGAGCTGAAAGATAACTGTTACACACATATTTTCCTGTGATCTTAAAATCTTCAGATTTTTTTTTCCTTTCTTTCACTGAATAGGATAAGAGAGAAAAATCTGGTCCTGCAATAGTTGCAGATGGAATACTCAATAGTGCAATCGCTTGGCCAACACCAGTCTGTGAATGTCTTGGAGGGCGCACATTTTGACAGAATCTGCCTCAGTAGGATGTAAAAGGGACGTGTGCAAAACGTAGCTCTTTCTGGTGGAAATAAACACGTGCCTTTCTGAATTTCCAGGCAGACAAAAGGAACCATAACAATAGAAGCAAACCTGCAACGGTACTACCTGAGATCATACTGCCACTCATAATTGCAATTATTTCTTAAATGCCATCCTGAAAATTTCAGCATGTTTTCCTTGAGAAGTTGTCTCTACTGCTCCAAAACATAGCCTATCAGCACCTCTCACTTTTCTTGCTAGAATTAGAATGTGAGTGCAGTTTTTCTTTAAAGGCAGTTTTCTGAAGGCCAACAACGTCAAACAGGAGACCTTCAGAGCATGCTGCTCCCCAACAGTCTCTCTGTGAGCGAAGCTTCTACACCTGGCACCTAAACCACTAGGACTGAAATAACCTCTAGTTACGCAGTTATTACTAGGTACCCAAAATAAATTAGATTCCACTTCTCTCGTGTGTCATAGAGATGCCCTTTCCCTTACCTTTATCTTCAATACACGTACACACAGCTGGGGTCCAATGTCTTCTGCATATCTATCACAAAATTTTAAATACTGGATAATATATACTTATGCTCATAGCACATTTGTTTCTCTTATTACTTTGCCTCATTTTGTTTGAGAATTCCAGTGTATATGCTTTTAAGACACTTACACTTAAAGTGTTTTGTAACATTGGCCATTTAAAAGCTTAGAGATATTTTGTTTTTCATCTAAAGCTCTTTATTAAGTAAATACACACACACACACACACACACAAACTAGTTGACAAAACCAGATGATAAAGTATGGAGAAACTAGAGAAAGTATATTACCTATCAACTGTTCCTGGGCATGTAAAATGGCCCAGCTCCTCTGAAAAGTTTGTTAGTTTCCTTTAAAACTAAATTCAAATCTATCATACAGCTTAACGATTGTACTATTGGGCTTTTATCCTAAAGAAATTCAAAATTTGTTTTCACACAAAAGCCTGGTCATTTTATTTGTAATAGCCCAAATCTAGAATTAGCATCAGTGTCATCATCCTGTCACATTATAGTCTACTTTTTCAAAATGTTAGCACTGGGAAAGGGCTATCTCTATAAATTCCTACAATCACAAGTGAATCTGTATTTATTGCAATAAAATCTTAATGAAAAATAATATCAAGATTTTTTTTACTTGTTTCATTAGCAGAGGAGCAAATCTCTATCCATCATGTTGGTAGCAGTAAACACCTAGTAAGTCCACGTTAAAACTACTGCTATGTTATTTCCAATGCTTCAAGCTTGGTATATAGTTGGCACTCAAGTCAAGACTGAATAAGAGAATAAAAGACGGAAGGAAAGAAAGATAAAGAGGGACAGAGGAAAGACAGATGACAAGAAGAAACATCTGTGAGACAGAACTAAATTTTAAGTGAGTACAGGAGAAAGAAGTGCTGAAGCATACCATTCGCTAATGTTGAAAAGTATCGGCCATGTTGCTGTCTATAGTGACTGTAGTAATTTACCCGCCAACAGTATGCAATGGCTCCCTTTGCTCCACATCCTTCCCAGCACACATTACCTGTAGTCATTCCCACTGAGGTGAGGCGCTATCTCACTGTAGGTTTGATTTGCACTTTTTTGGTGATTGGTGATGTTGAGCATTGTAAAAGATTATTCACCATGATCAAATGGGATGTGTCCCAGGGTGCAGAGATGGTTCGCCATACACAGGCGAATAGATGTGATACACAGCATCAACAAAATGAAGCCCCAAAGCCATATGATCCAATAGATGCATGGTAAAAACACTGAATAATTTAGTTATAGATGGAACACAAGTAAGACCATTTGTAAAAGAAACAATAACTAACATTATATTGAATGGGAAAAGGTTACAGAGCCACCAAGAAAGAGAAAGATATAAAGAGTATAGAAATAGAAAAAGAAAAGTCAAAGCTAGGCATGGAGGTACATACTTATAATCCAAGCACCTGGGAGGCAGGAGCAGAAACATTGCAAACTCAAACCCAACCAGAGCAACTTAGAGCCTTTTTATTTAAAAAGGAAATGTCAACTTGTCTTTGTCTTTTTAAATGATACATGCTTATATACAAAAACTTCACATTATCTACCAAAATACATAAAAATCTATTAGTGTATTGGTGTATTGGTCAGGATACTCTAGAGAAAAGGAGTCAACAGAAAATATACCTAAAATTATGCAAGGGGATTCATTAGACAGGTTTCCCTATCAGAGGCAGGAGAGTCCGCAATGGCCATCTGAGTGGTGAAAAATCAGAGGACCCAGTAGCAGCTAAGATAGATAGATAGAAATTCCAGAAAGATAGAAATTGCAGACAGAGCAAGAGAAATTAAGCATCATCCCAAGGTCAAATGTCTGGAAGCTCCCTGGAGAGTGACTATTATGAGTCTGCTCTGGAAGCCTGAAGAAACAGGAGTCTGATGTCTGATATCCACAGCAGCAGCAAAAGACACACCTCCTAAAGCAGAACGGAACTTCTAAAAACAATGATAGCTTCCTTTTACGTTCCTTTTTATTCAATCCAGGTTACAAGCTTATTGGTTGGTGCAGTTGGGATGGACATTCCCTCTATCAGTTTGCTGGCCTACAGCACAGTCATCCCTGGGAATACACATGCACACCTATCAGTGTGCTTTATTAATCTGTTAGTCAATTCCTTAATCCAGTCAAGCTGACATTTCAGGAGCAACATTTACAAGAACTCATTAATGAATTCAGCAAGGTTGAAATTAACCTACAAAATCAACATACAAAAAATCAGTAGCATTGTTGTGTGCCAATTAGTCATCTAAAATAAAAATCAAGACAGCAATCCCAAA